ACCCAATCTCTCAGAGCGTCTCAGCTTCGCGACGTATGTTACGTCGCGGGAGTAAGCCTCGTTCCTGCCGCAGTCCAAGCCGTTGGCGTGTCGACGACCACTGCAGCGGTCCACGCCATCAAGACTCTGCTGGTCGTGGCCGTAGTTCACGTCGTCGTCACTTGTCCAATCGCGAGCACAGTCCAAGTCGTCGGCGCAGTCATGGTCGTGGTCGCAGTCGCAGCCCAAGCCCACGTCGCTGGCGGAGTTGTGGTTGCGGTCGCAGTCCAAGCCCAAGTCGGCGGCGCACTCGCGGTGGCGACCGCAGTACAAGTCGTCAGCGCACTTCTCTCCGAGGATATAGCCCAAGGCACCAGATCTCTTCTGTACAACACCGTGAAAGTCGCTGGCGCGGCACAAGTTTGTCTTGGCGCTCTTCGCATTGCCGCTACAGCCGAAGTCCTCAGCGTACCGTTGGACATGATCAGAGACGGAGTCGTCGGAAAAGCTCAAGTTACGTGAGCTGGTCGAGTCGACGCCGAAGCACAAGTCGTCGCTGTAGTCCTTACACTCGGCGCGATTGCAGTCCTCGACAACGGGCAGCTCGGGGAAGAAGCCCAACTCCTCAACGAGACTCTAGCGATGCCTGCAGCAAGCGTTTTTCTTGCAGCTTAAGGGGATCACCTCCAGTTTTTTAGTAGAGAAGGCGATCACCAGTGTGCCATATCAACTTCACCTTCTACTGGGCATGCTGCAGACGGAGAAGCCGCTGAAGGTATTCCACTGCATGTTCCAGCGAACAGCGTTCATCATCACCGTCGCCCTGTTGTCCATGCAGCTGGTCACGCATTTACGGGTTACCATAAATCGGAAGTTAAGATTTCGTGCAGGTGGAGTTCCTACCGGAGTACAAAATGCAAGGAAAAGTTACATTTCGATATCAAGACAAATGAGTATTAATTTCGTGGTGAACATTCTTGCGACCGGCGTAGAGTGAAATTACCTGGAGTAAATGTTACCGAAGACATGGAGGAGGCCACTGATGTGATGGCTATCACTCGAATGGACCTGACGGCGGAGCGAATCCGGAAGCAGATTCACAGCGGCTTCTACCCTGAGGAAGTAACACTGGTGCAATTCGAACTTACACGTGAGCAAGTCCTCCAGCGAGTTTACCGAGTGAGACGTGCTCACTTTAGTGCAGATTTGCATGGTATTGTGGAGGTTCCGCCGCTGTCACTGGTATCGGGGACCACACAGCCATTCTTTCAATTTTACAGGTCCTATATGAATGGAACAACACTAGAGCGCTTAGTCGGTTGGGGTTATCCTGATCTGATCAAGCTACTGAAGTACAAACAGACTACGTTGTTTCTCAACGGAACATTCAGGTGCGTCCCGCTCCCATTCTACCAGTGCGTGGTAATGATCGTTTTTGATAATGCAACGGACCTATTCGTCCCTGTATTTTATACATTGTGCACGTCAAAGACCCAAGTTACGTACTGGCATTTGATGGAGGCTGTCAATGTCGCTGCAGACGACAAAATCGAGCCGAGCATGGTGGTCTGCGACTTTGAGGTTGGATTGCAAAAGGCAGCACAAGTTCAATTTCCAGATGCAGATATCGTCGGCTGCTACGTATAATTTAAGCAGGCCTGCCGAAGGAAGATGAAGGCACTAAGCCTCCCTGAAGGTGAGGTCGTCATTGCAATGAGTAAGGGCTAATTGGATATGCTGACTGTCATTTCGCACGAGAAGATCAAAGACGAAGACATCAAATTTGTGCAAGGCAAGATAAGAGACACGTGTGTGGCCAAGAGCATTCGGTATTCGGACGTGCTGTGGAAGCGGTTTTGGTCGTATTTTCGTACAACGTGACTGAAGACATTCACACCTAGGTTTTGGAATGTTCTTGAGGTGGATGCTGCTATGGTAAGTCGTACTAATAATCCTTTAGATTGTTTTAACCGCGAGATAAATGCGGAGCTAACAGTTCCACACCCTTCTCTACCATCATTTGTCAGCATAATCCAAGCTCTGTCGAAGCGCTATGTCAAACGAATTGAGGTTATGTCAAAGTCCCGAGCGAAGAAACGGCAACGTCGAGCTCCTGAGCTACTAGATCTCCCTGTCCCTGTGGAGCACGGAGAAAGTGCAGACACCGTGTTGAGCCCGGCACTGGAGCCAGCACTAAGGGGATGCGACAGGCAATCCCGTATGAGCTTGATAGTACCGGGTGACACATATTAATATAAGGTGTATGGGCTCTAGTAGAGCCGCCGATTATGATATTTATATGAATGGAAGGCTCAGTGTGATCATAAATAATGTGACGTTGTCTAGAAATCGACTTCATAAATAATGTCATATCTGCTAGTGATAAATCAATTATGGTGATCGACTCGTACTTGTATTGATTAGCGCGTTATGGGCTACAGGAGTTGATCTACAGTAGAAACATCCCAAAAGCGCGAGTTTTCTCGTAGAAATAGGATCATTTAAAGCGTAATAGGCTGTAGGCCAGTAGGCTTACCGCAGCGGCAGCGAACGTACTCCGGCACAAGCTCATCGTACTGGTCACGACACGGTGAGTAGAAGTACGCCACAATCTGGGCGTTGGAGAAAGTTGACCGGGGACGAGGCGTAGCTAGCATGAGGTGTAGAGCTTGTAGGAGAAGTAGAAAATTGGAAAGTGAGGAGGCAGTGTGTCGGATAGATGTTTGAATATATGATTGGTTCGGAGAGGCTAACCGAAGGTAAGCTTTTCCGCATACTAACCTAAGTAAGAAGTGTACCTTCTCATAAATTATGCATGAAAATAGTACCTTGGTGGCATAAATTATGATCTACTACTTTTCACGACTCATAAATAATGTGATAATATTTATGACCATTACTGTAAGTGCCATTTATTTTTCGGCGGCCCTGGGCTCTACTATGCCTATTGAAGTGTCTATGTAGTCAACGGTACTCTGACCGGTGGAGCCCCTCTATAATCGAGGCACACACTAAGTGCGATGAGGAGAGGAAGCATGGTGGGTAGGAAGAGAGGACTAGCTCCTCACTTCCTCTTTTGCTTCGGTCTGAGCACAACCGTAAGAATAGCAATAGGTTGAGGAATTGGGGTCAATTAAGGAATTAATAGACCTATAAGTTTACATTTGATTTAAGACACCGTAACGACGAACGCGTAGATTACGTAGAGTAGTAAAGATACTACACTTTTCTGAATATTTAGAAATGCATGTAGAAGGACTTGCATGAAAACAATTTCAAGTCAACTTCAGATTTGATCAACTTTCGTCAGGGTCAAGGGATTTGATCAACTGACCATTTATGTGATGATGATCAAATAAAAGTTTACCGTAGCAATTAACAACTGTTATGACAAAGAATCCGTGGTTAAAATCCCCCACACCCATATCATTTGAAGTATTGTATGAGTAAAGTGGTATTAGGACGAGCGTCTACGGCTAAGACGCTCCGGGTCCCAGGTTGGTGCCTTCGTACTCACAGTCTGGGGCATTGAGCTGTGGCTCCTGAACGAGGACCATGCAAGCACCGCGACGGAATTGGCGCTGCTGTCCAAGGCGCTACCTGCGCAATGTGGACTACTGGAATACGCGGCAGCTACGCTCGTGAGTTGCGTTAGTTTCTGTAGAAGTGCACGTCTTGCGAGTAATATACTACAGTAGAATGGGGCATTGGAGTCGCAGCTTTCACAACTCGAAGCCACGGACTCGCATGACGCATCATAAGCATTGTATTCACTGGAAACTTAAGGCTGACGAAGGAAAAGTCAAAGTGGCCGCGAATTAGGAGAGTCGTGAATGGTCAGCAGCTCTTATTTTATAATTTGGACCCATTGTCAGCGAACACCAAGAACGTTCCATGCTTCACACTTGGGTGCATGTACGCATGTTATTTCTCCGAAGTTATCAGAACCGGTGCTGTAGATTCATCACGTCACGGTATCCTCACAATTGGTGTCGTAGTAGCTATAATGCACGTGATTGGTCTCGAACAGCAGGGAGGCTGTACGTACTCGATGGCAAAACATAAAAAGTTGCCAGGTCGGACGTAGCACTAGTGATCTACTGGACGACTTGAACGTCTGCATCCCCGCTTGTGCTCGGATCGCAGTCTCCCGCCGAGGTGCAGACGTGCCATCGCTAGTGCTAGACAAGCTTTGCTCACAGCAGCGCCGATAAATATTGGTGAGATTAACCACCGCGTCGTCGTCAAAATTGAGTTTAGTAAATCTATTAAACGTAATACATCACAGCAAAACTCCGGGCTTATCAATTTCAACACGGGGGGTGACCTCACTAGTACCAAGATATCCTCTGGAATTAGGCGAGGTTCTATTGTACATTCGCTGATCAACATTGGCCAGTTGAAGCGAAGATTGTCGTCGCGATTCATGTCAAGATTGTTGACACCGTTGGACGCATGGGTTCATTCCGATCAGCACCGTGACAATGAGACCCTGCAGTACAGCGCAGACAAATGCGCCAATGCTTATTGTAAAATTGCTGAGATTGAAAAAGCATATACTGCAGCACTTTTCACCGTTTCTCCACTGCACATTTATCGTACTATCAACACCGCTGGGCTATGTCACCAAGTCCAAGGCGTCATCAAGCCATGTTGCTTGTACGGTAGCCACTCCAAATGTCGCGACCAAACCTTCAGCTGCGCAGAGCCCTCCACCACCAGTCCCGGTCCAGGTCTCAGAACACCAACATAATGCTCTTTTCTGTCTTGCGCACGCCCTAGGAGGTCTCTGTAAAATGCCTTTTCCGGACAGACGACACCTGAAGAGCATAAGAGCGCAATCCACTTCAAGCTTGATGAGCAACACAGTGACAAGTTGCCATAATGTTGCGCTTATGTTGCGTCACAAAAAATCGAATCCGTAATCCCTTTCCGATCCGATATTGCCCAGCATTATCGCTTTCAATGGTCCCCCCTTGAAGCTGCGACGGCGTCACTGTCACACCCCAAAGAGAAGCCCCAAAGACGCCCATGAGCTACCAGGTGTCGTCCGTCTTCCTGCAAAAGTTCTCGCCCAAGGAGATCCACGAGCTCAAGCGCGTGTTCAAGGAGCACGACCGCGACTATGCTGCAGCTGTGCCCGTATCTGAGCTGCACACGGTACTGCAGAAGCTGGGCGAGAATGTGACGCCCAATCAGACTACAGTCATGCTGCAACAAACGAAGCTCACTAGACCCGAACAGATCACATTCCAGGAGTTCTTGGAACTTGTGCATGATTTCCGCAATGGAGCCATCGCTCTAGACCCCGCGCTGCTCATGGGTCACGCATCAGTGGCCCCTACACCCGTCGCACAGGTTGTGCAGACCCCCGCATCGGCTACTCCTGAGCCCACAGCGACTGTGGAGACAACGCCGTTCTTTTCTAGTCAAAAGACAACCAATCAGATGCCTGAGCCGACACCACAAGCACCAGTTTTCGCTCAGAAAGCGCAATGGCCACCTGTAGGAACCCCCACGACCCCAGTAGCGACTGCAGCGCCTGTTGCAAGCAAGCCACAATGGCCACCTGCTGCCAACCAAGCTACGTCATGGGGACACACACCATCGTCAGCTCCACAGTCTGCACCTTCAAATGCGCCGCCCACACATGCAAAGCCGCGATGGCCGCCTGGACCCAGCGACTCAACGCCGCCTGCTGTGTCTGCACCTACACCTTCTGCGCCTGTTTCTTCTACTGCAACTGCAAAGTGGCCGCCCGCTGGCGATATGAGCCCCACGAAATCTCAGTGGCCTCCTGCAGGGACCTCACCTAGCGCACCCAAGAGCCCTGTATCTAAACCTCCGAAGAGCCCTGTATCCTCGAAGCCTCACTGGCCACCGGCTGGAAACGGATCTACGAAGCCCCAATGGCCTCCTAGCTCTCCCTCTCCTGCTCCCGTCGCTTCTTCTCCTTCAGAAGCCCCCAAACGCGCTCAGTGGCCGCCTGCAGCCAACACGCCACCGCCTCCTCCAGTAGTTCGTACGCCTCCTCGTTCTCCCGTGAAGCCGACGGCCGCCCCACCGTCACCTGTAGCGGAGTACGTGGGTGGCGTCGACGCACACACGTTGAGTGTGCTACAGCGTCGTGCCAGTGCAGCGGCGCAGTACAACTCAACAATCCACGAGGTCAAGGGCACTGCAGGCGGTCTCCACTCGTACTCGGAGGAAGAGACGGCTGCCTTCACCGAGCATATCAACAACACGCTGCAAGCAGACAGAGATGTGGCGTCGCTGATGCCTATCAGCATGGACGCGGGGCTGTTCCGAGCTGTGTGCGACGGAGTGCTGCTCTGCAAACTCCTCAACCGCGCTGTGCCCGAGACGATCGATGAGCGCGCGCTGAACGTTGTCAAGCGCGCGAGAGAGCTCAACGTGTACCAGAAGACGGAGAACCAGAACCTGTGCATCAACGCCGCCAAGAGTATCGGCTGCAGTGTGGTGAACATCGGTCCGGACGACCTGATCGAGGGCAAACCCATCCTCGTCTTGGGTCTGGTGTGGCAGATTATCAAGATCCAACTCACGTCGAGTATCAACCTCAAGAACCACCCAGAGCTGATGCGTCTGCTGCTGGATGGAGAGACGTTGGAGGCGTTCATGAAGCTCCCGCCGGACCAGATTCTGCTGCGGTGGATGAACTACCATCTTCAGGCTGCTGGGCATAGGAAGAAGGTGACGAACTTCAGCTCCGACGTGCAGGATGCGACGGCGTACAGTGTGCTACTGCATCATATCGCGCCTCAGCACTGCGATGTGTGCGCCGAGTCCGTCCCGGAGGAACGCGCCGCCCACGTGATCCAGAACGCGCGTCGGCTCCAGGTCGAGACGTTCATCAAGCCTCGCGACATCACGAGCGGCAACCCGAAGCTCAACATGTCGTTCGTGGCGCAGCTGTTCAACACGTGCCCAGCGTTGGATGTGGTCGAAGAGGAGGTGAAGCAACTGGAGGAGATTCTGTACGACGACGTGGGCGACACGCGGGAAGAGCGGGTCTTCCGTCTGTGGATCAACTCGCTGGCCATCGACGACGTGTACGTCAACCACTTGTACTCGGACTTGAGCGACGGCATGAAGCTGCTCAAGGTGCTGGACAAGATCCAGAAGGGCCTGGTGAGCTGGAACAAGGTCAACCTGGTGGCGCCCAACAAGTTCAAGCAGGTGGAGAACTGCAACTACTGCGTCGTACTGGGCAAGCAGCTTAAGTTCTCGTTGGTGAACGTCGGAGGCGCCGACATCTTCGAAGGCGCCAAGAAAATGATCCTGTCCATTGTGTGGCAGAGTATGCGCTATCAGCAGCTCAAGATCTTGAGCAAGCTGGCGGCCGGGCGAGGCGAGATCACCGACAAGGACATCATCGGCTGGGCCAACAACAAGGTGCAGCAGAGCGGACGGGCCAAGGGCAACATCGTGGCGTTCCGGGACCCCACGCTGTCCGACGGGCTGTATCTACTGGACTTGGTGCACGCTGTGGAGCCGCGTGCGGTGAACTGGGACATGGTCTCGCAGGACAAGACGGACGACGCCAAGGCCAGCAACGCCAAGTACGCCATCAGCTGCGCGCAGAAGATCGGCGCCACGGTCTTCCTGACGTACGAGGACATCGTGGAGGTCAAGCCCAAGATGATGATGACGTTCGTGGCCAGTCTCATGCTCGTGGACCATCAGCGCGCATAAGATGAGGACAGTGGAGAGAAGAAGAGCTGCTAGACGGTCGTAGCTGGCTGACCAGAGTTGAAGAAGCACATACAAGTGAACAGAGAAAAAAAGTTTTCAAACATGCACTTGCGAACATGGGTACATGTATCCATGAACCGTTTAACATGTACAATAGTCACCTCCTCGCAAAGTTGGCCGTCGAAACTTTCGTCCGTCAACATGGTGGAGTGTTACTTGACCGATGAAGTACCGACCGGCCACACGAAGGTCAGTGCCGATGCTGGGTGGGGTTTCCTTTCGGTTGATCTCTTGGACGCAAGATTGAGAATGAGACTGCAAAAACGGAAAGGCAAGAGTGCACGGGGACTCCACAGCAACCGCAACCGCGTAAAGTGCGTGGTCTCCATTCGGTTCCCAGCCGAAGAGGTGGTAATGCATGCGGATCCTGCGAGTTTGCCTCATTCATCAGCTGCTAGAGCTTGGAAGGTTGTATTTTCCACGGGTGCAAACTGATCAAGACCAATTGGGCACTGGACAAAGATTATCTTACACTATTGCCAACAATGGCTTTGGTGATTTAACATGTAAAGAAGCCTTGTTAGTCACTGTGCCTTGCCAGACCATACATCTTTGACTTTTTTCTCCCGGTACATAACTTGCTTAGATTCTCGAATAAATATTTAGCACGTTAGCAATATTCGCAAGCAAGTTCTAAGCATCGTCCCACACTGTCTCTGCGTACTGCTGCAAGCCGAAGAGACTGTGCTTTACTAAACCTGGCCGAAGTTGCGGCAATATCCTTGGTATCTGCTGAAGGATAATTTACCGATTCGATAGATTTATCCTGCTTGGCTTCGTAATATTATAATTCTGTAAATTATCTTTAAGTACTAATTCGTTTCTAATATAGTACATGGACTCATAAAAGTGATATTTTAAATTGATATTTTATGAGTTCCCTTTACTATATATAAGTGTGCAGTTTACAGAGCAACACTCCACATGCTTCAGCAAAGAAACATGTGAAATTGTTCGTAGAAGCTCGTCCACTTTCCAATTGATGACCGTGCGTATGTGTGGCGACAGGTGGCTTGACGACATGGCCTCCATAAGCTCCGTGGATCGGTCAGGTCGGGCTTATCTTCTGGAAGTGCATTACGTCACACTCTTTACTGCAAAAGATGGTGCGGAGATTGCTCTAAGGAGTACCTACCTCATATGGTATAAAAGCACTGTTAAATGGAACTGGTCATGTATATAATAAACGAAGGAAACTAACCGCGCATTGAGCCTGGCGGCATCGGTAAAATGATTGATACATGTCTTGGCAGCGTAAACGACTATCTCAAGCTGTAAGCAAGGTAGTATACTATTTGTTTTACCTGTGCTAGCACTTTAATTTATACTCTGGCCTTGACGTCGAGTCCACAGAAGCTCAAACCGTACAGGCTCTACGAACTCTTGACGACCAAGAAAGGAACTTTGGTTAAATGAGGCCCGGGACCAAGAAGCACAAGGTGATGTGTCGCTCTCGTCGTTGACCTCAGGTGTCGGCTACGAGGTGCACATTATCTCTGTTGCTGTTGGCGGGAGCGATAGATCACACGTCGTCAAGTCCTTAGGAAGTAGCAACGAAACTACGTCGCTTCTTTCTAGCTCAGAATACACACATGCACTGTGCTCTAATTCTTCTGTGACTGTTTATTTTTGCCAAAGATGAAGACAGCAGAGACTACTGCACTGTCACGGACACCGAGCCGTACTGGTGCTGGCATTAGTGAGTGTATCGTCGCAGAGTCTAGTGTGGCTTCGGAGAGTCTCGGTCAGTGTCTTCCTTACTACTTCGTTAGTTAAGAACTGACCGAAACTCTCCTGAGAGCTAAGCTAGCTCTGGAATTTTACAACCACAAGTTTTCACTCATTGAAGCTACAACCAGGACTCAACTGCACCATCCACATGTGCGTGGTAGATGTCAAAATTGTACCCAAAAATGTAAAAAAGAAGCAGAAAAAAGCCGTATTTAAAGTGAGCTTGTGCATCTGTTGAAAAAACATTCCTTTAGTATTCATAGTTTTTTAAGCCTGTAAAGGGTATTATGATAGCTTTGATACGAGTCCAGCTGGTATGCAGCGGCCAGCAGCCTCGCCAGGCAGTCGATCAACTGCTATCTGGACGTGGCTGCATTAAACAGCAGAAGCTGATTTTCATGGACACAAGCGGCTGATTACGGTCAAAAGGCCTCTACAATCACTTACTAACTAAGCCCATCATATACATTTAATTGAGTCGTGACACGATTCCAAGATCTCTACTAATATCCGGTTGATATTAGCCACGTGTTGAGCAGCATGGAGCTTACCGAAAGCAAAACGATCGCTAAACGGTACTACAGGTGCGATTCAGAGGAGGTGAAAGCAGATTGTCGTCAAAAGCTGGCATTGCAGTCGACCTTTGCTATCACAAACTGTCTGAGCACTAAACAACTGCCGCATATAATACTGCTCACTTCAATATTTCTCGAGCATATGCACCCCTTCAATCGACTGCCCCCCCCTCCCCCCCCCCCCACCACCACCACCTAATTTGCCGAGATGATCGCAGACACAGGAATTTATTGTCGACCAACCTTCCAGCACATTTGTCAGCAGCGTCAAGACAAAGGACGATGTGACGCAAGTCATCAAGTCCTAGATAATATAAATTAACATATTTGTACATCTACTTTAAAACCTTAATACTGCCAAAGAAAAGCAGATGCCGCACATGGTGCCAGCTTGAACATACAACGAGATGGTAGACGTAGTCCATGGTTTTGGTGAGTTTAGCAAGCCCATAGCCTGGTCGCCTATGGCAGAAATTATCTTAGCAACTGCCTCTCACAGAGTCAAAGCTGCGTAACCTTGTCGTGCTGACGATTTCGGCGTGACACATGCTAACTCAGCATGACAGGACATGCCATTGTTCCGGCACCTCCGACATGCACCTCCGACGTACCCACATGCTTCCGACTAACGCAAAATTTGCGTTTGATTTTGAGCTTTGGCACATGGGGTACGCCGAAATTGGCAGATGTTGCTCCCACGAAACGTACCCAACGGACGAAGATTATACCCCACCGCGTTGCACTTGCTCACATCGTACAGGCACGGTTACCACGACATGACGCATTCCTTCAGCTAGAAACGTCGTTAAGATCGCAAGTGTAGTTGAGCAGAATCTAGAGCAGGATTTCCACTGGACGACCACTTCGCAAAGGGTTGAGCACTAACAATTCGCGCGAATAAAGTACATAGTAGCACGACGAGGATATCCCGTACGGCGCACATAGCGTCGTGGTTGTAAGTAGTAAGAGATGCTGAAACTGCGTAGACTTGTACGAGTTATAACAGCAAAGCACAAGTCACCTGGCTGTAAGCGTGTGAAATACTGGAGCTAAGGCCGGTATCGGTCACCATACCAGTTCAAGTTGTACTCACCAGCACCTCAAAGATTGTGCACTGCTTGGCACAGCCGAGGACGGTGTATTTCTTCGTTTCTCCACCGACCTTTGAGTATTAAGCCACGGCGAAGCAGTACCACCTACATACACTGTTGAGTGCAGCTATGTTACAGCAGATACTGGATACGCGTGAACATCTCGTCGTATGCTGCACCATCCGAACTGGCACTGAAGTGTTCGTTGTGCTGGATCTTTGTGTAGGCAGGATTGGCACCTCAGCGCTGCATCGAGACAGCTCCCGGTATCCAAGTAGTACTACTGCTCTTTCATCAATATGAAGGATGCAGCTTGTAGGTGCTGCACGTAGCTGTAGCTGAACGCATGGGCCTCGCTGTTTGGTGGAGCTCTACATTTCACGGCGTCCTTCATGTTTGAGAGTTATGATTCATGACTGACAGTAGGGCACTGGCTTCAGTGACGTCGAAACTGCTTTTGTCGGAAAGATGATTGACAATCTTAAAGGAAGCTGTGAATAATAGTAGTGCACGATGTTGGGCAGCCATAGCCATGTCACCGGCGATCGTACAGGTAAAGCTCTTCGCTGTGCAATGCCTACGGCAGCAGTAGTCGTTCGTCGCGAGTGGCGTGAGGTCGTTGGGCTTAAATATGTAAAAATACGTAGTTTGATACAATGGATTTGTTAAGTACATGTACCATTGGGACAGATTTGCTCGGACGGATACTTACAAAGCAGCAGGGGCTCACCTCTCAGACATTATCACCTTGATGCTTGCTGGCTAGCGTAACATAAGCATCGTCGCTCCAATGGCTTGAGTTGCGCAGCATGGTTTTAAAAAGGCCCTGTCTTTGAGGCTGTTGCTGTCCGTCGGATGGTCACCAAGACTAGTTACACACGTCCCAGTCCAATACGGCTGGAAGCTCTGTACGAAAGTAGCACAAATGAGTGGTTAGCTATCTGATAGGGATATGAGTATAGGGCTTCGTGAGTGTAGGGCTTCTTGAAGCTTACACTAAGAGTCGGAGTTGCTGAGACCATGCGCAATCCCTCCGCAGTAGGCTTGGCCATCGTCGTAGTTTTGGAGGCGGCTTTTGTTGATGAGAACGACTTGAGCTCCAGCCGAACAAAAACGAGAATGGGGCTTGCACTCGAGCTGACGGTCTCGTGCGCCTTCAAGCTGGCTTGGCCTCCCATGCCGCAGCCTTTCGCTCTCTGCTTCAGAGTATTTGAAATTGTTGTAAGTGTTAGTATACTTGCTTTTTCTGCATACAGCAGTCAGTCCCAGCAACCATTTGCTAGCAATTGACGCATACAGCGTACTATGCCATCGACAATCTGCTAACATTTCGCTGCATACAAGCCGCAAGTGTCTTCTGATCGTACGTACATTTGTTTGCGTCCGGCTGTTCGATGGTGGTGGGCAGGAGCTTTGCGGTGCTTGATCAATGTGTGCGGGGGAGGGAGAGGAGGGCGCGGACAGTAATAGCTTGTTGTATTTTCTGGAACTGATCATTTGCGCAATTCTTAGCGTTTTACGCAACTTAATGGCTAATTAAACG